CCCCTTTTCGTGTAGGAATAGGGTCCTTTTTTTTTTTTTTCACTTTTGGCTATTTTGGGTCTTTTTGAGATAGGGTCTCCCTGTTGCCCCAGCTGTCCTGGAACTCACTATGTAGATCAGGCTGGCCTTGAACTCACAGAGATCCACCTGCCTCTGCTTCCCGAGTGCTGGGATTAAAGGCATGCACCATCACACCCAGCCGGGCCTGGGCTTTTTTAAGTCAGGAGGTTTTGTATTACTGTTCCAATTTCCTTATATGTCATGGGTCTGTTTAAACTGTTGATCTCTTCTTGGTTTAACTTTGGTGAGTCCCATGATTTTAGATATCCATCCATTTCTTTTAGGTTTTCAAATTTAATAGAGTATAGGTTTTTAAAGTTTTCCCTCATAATGTTCTGAATCTTTTTGGTGTCAGTTGTGATGTTTCCCCTTTTATCTCTAATTTTGTTGATTTGGAATTGCTCTTTCTTTCTTTTGGTTAACTGTCACATCCCTAGACTAATGAAATTTCTTACTATGTGCAAAATATGTATCTTTATATTACAGACAAATATCCCAGCCACCAATCATCAAAGAAGCTTATTTTGCACTAGATGGAGTCTGTTAGAGAGAGTACCACAATTGGTCACATGCAAACATTGTCTGTGAATTTCCCAAGACTAAGTGGCACATCTACAATGCAACCTCTATACCTAAGGCTCACGGAACATAGAACAGGAGGTAAAGAGGACACTAATGCATCTCTCAGTTCTCATTAATGAAGCTTCCTCACGCGACAGAAGGCCAGGAACACAAAAGGTCACAAATGGCCAAAACATAGAGATTAAGAGTCTGCAGAATGCTGGTTTTTGGATGGGACTCCTATATTAAACTTCACCCATCCAGGGCTACCAAGGGACCATTGCAGAAGAGCAGGCAGAAAGATTGTAAGAACCAGGGAGGAGGTGCATGACCATATGGAAATAGAGTCCTACAAACTCCTGAGACCCTGCTCATAGGAATCTACAGCAATGGTGTCAGCATACACAAGAACAATGCAAACTCAAACAGACAAAAACCCAGCATAGAACTGGGGAAATGGACAGCAGACTCCAATCTTAGCTGAAGAAATATTGGCAACTGATTACTTCTGGGTGAGGAGCTGATCTTCCTAAAACAAGGGACTCTAGACAGGCTGACTAGACCTCAGTAGATGAACTTGCACTGAGGAACACCTGGGGACACCAACTGGACACAATCGGCCTTAACACAAATGACAGAATGAATGAACTCCAGTGGTGGGGGTTATGGGAGGGTGCCAGTGGGGAAGGGGATATAAAGATGATTAAGATTGGGGCTGGAGACATGGCTCAGCGGTTGGGAACACTGGTTGTTCTTGCAGAAGACCCGGGTTCAATTCCCAGCACCCACATGGCAGCTAACGACTGTCTGTAACTCCGGTCCAAGGGGATCCGACAGCCTCTTCTGACCTCAGCGGGCATTGCACGATACGGGTGCGCTTACCTACATGCAGGCAATACATGCATACACATAAAATAACAATAATAAATAAAATTTTAAAAGACGATTAAGATTGAGATATTCTGTATGCATTACACAAAAATTCAATTTAAAAAAGTTTTTAAAGAAAATAAAATTTCTACAATCCACAAAAAGAAAAAAGACAAGACAAAAAGGCCAGTAGGCTGGGGTAATGCGGCTTAGCAGGGGACACAAGGGTCTCACCACCACGCCAGACAGCCTGAGTTCCATCCCCAGGGCCCATACAAGGAAGGAGAAAACCAGTATCTCCAAGCTGTCCTCTGGCTTCCACATGGATACTGTGGCATACGTGTGCACGCATGCACATGCACATGCGTGCACACACACACACACAAATGTAATTAAAATTTATAATTAAAAAAATAAGGCCTGGCATGGTGGCACACGCCTTTATTTAGCCTGAGTTCCATCCCCAGGGCCCATACAAGGAAGGAGAAAACCAGTATCTCCAAGCTGTCCTCTGGCTTCCACATGGATACTGTGGCATACGTGTGCACGCATGCACATGCACATGCGTGCACACACACACACACAAATGTAATTAAAATTTATAATTAAAAAAATAAGGCCTGGCATGGTGGCACACGCCTTTATTTCCAGCACTTGGGAGGCAGAGGCAGGTGGATCTTTGTGAGTTCGAGGCCAGCCTGGTCTACACAGTGAGTTCCAGGACA